CAGCCCAGGCTAGCAACAAGCACCCTACCCAGGGACCCCTATGAGGCTATTCTGTCACTACACCCCCATAATGGGCTCTTTGTCTGAGCGACCAACTCCCCGAGACCTCAGGCCCATGCCCTCACACACCTAGGAATGTATACAGAAATGGGGGAAAAAAAAACACAGAGGGACATACTTGGACACACACACAGAGACACACACAGGAGGACACACAGGGTCACATCCAGAGACATTGGGACACAGACACAGAGGGTCACACATAGGGACACACACAAGGACAGGGACACAGACCCATACACAGAGGGACACACACACGGACACTCACAGAGATACAGAGGAACACACAGGAGTACATGTACACACACAGGGACAGGGACACACAAGGAGAAACACAGAAGGACACACATGGAGACACACTCAGACATAAATAAGGACATACACAGAGACAGGGACACACAGACACAAACAGGGAAACACACACAAGGACACAGACACAAGAACAAACAGGGACAGAGACAAACGGGCACAGATATTCACATAGGGATAGGGACACACAAATACAGAGGGACACACAGGGACCCTTAGACACACACACACACACACACAGGGATACACAGGCCTCCAGATACCACCTCCTGCCTTTGGTCTGGCACCTCCCCCACCCCTTGTTCTTCAACTTGACAGAGGCGCACAACTGCCTCCAACCATCGCCTGCCCATCTGGCTGTGTGGGAACCTCTCACCTCTGACCCTGACCCCCAAACTCGCCAACTGTCCTGCCTTCCAGAACCCAGGAGGGGGACAGGGGTCCTAGGTTAGTGTGGCTTCTGGCAGGCTTCCCCGCCCCCACTCAGCCCCAGCTTCCTGCCCCAGACAGACCTTCCCAGCTGGAGTGGGGGGGTCCCAGAGGCTACAGAGGAAGAAGCAGAAAGAGGACAACAGTGGCCTGCAGAGGAGACAGCCCCACCCCACACCCACTACCCCACCAGACCAGGCAAAGCCCAGACGGTCAGAGCCGCGACAGGAGGTCCGGGCAACCCCAGATGGCCTCAGGACACGGGGTAGGAGGGACAGTCAGGGCACACAGTCAGAAGTGGAGCAGGGCCGGCTGACACCCACAGGGCCTGCTCCAACCGGAGGGGAAGGTGGGTATAAAGGGCCAGTCACGCACAGGCGACCCCTGACAGCTGAGATAGACAGACAGACACACACACACACACAGTCAGACCCAGACAGGCGACCCCGGGCTAACAAAGAGACAGGCAGACCCAGACAGACGCAGAGGGAGGGAAAGCGGCTGCGACCAACCACAGGCAGACAAAGGGAGCCAAGCCGACCCGCAGGCTCAGACAGCCCCGCCCGCGGGCCAGACTGGGCTGCGGCCCCGCCCACCCCGGCCTTGCCGCCCCGCCCTCTTGCCCGGCGCCGGCTTCACGCCCGCCTGGGCAATACCCCTCCACACCGGCCTTTCCCAGTCATAGGGAGACCCTTTGAGGGCCCCCTGCCTTGGCATGTCAAGGTCAAAATCCTCAGAGGGAAGGAAGTGCAGGAAGTGTCTTGAGAGCCCGGCCTTCCCCTTACAGGCCAGCAGGTCTGATGACCCGCCCGGTTATATAGCCTCAGGAGTCCGCTGCACACACTCTGGTCCCTACTCTCAGAGCCTCACCATCCTCACCGGTAAAATGGGCTCTAAGAACGGGGCAATGCGTATAAGGCTGTATTATTATTATTATCATTATCATTATGATGATTGTAAGCCTTGCTCCTCCCACAGTTCTAGAATTCCCGTCCTTAGCACTCAATCCTCCAAGCAGGGGACCCCACGTCCCTCAGAGCCTCAACCCCCTTCCCACCCCTCAGGGGAGATACTACCTAGGCCGAAGGGCCTGGATATCCTGTAGAGGGTGAGGGGGAGCAGCCCCACCATCACCCATTCACCCTGTTGGGGCCTTTCTGGCTGGGGTAGATGGATGCAGGAGGGAGAGCCGAACTCCGGACAGCGGACAGCAGACAGCGGGATGAGAACGCGACTAGGTCCCAGTCCCGGTGCTGACAGGAGGGCTACAAGGAAGGGGCTCCAAGGGGTTAGGGCTGCTTCGTGGGGCCGGGTGCTACGGGCGGTGTGTCAGGCTCCACGGGAGCCTTGGATAGATAGGTTGTGGAGGCAGGACTGTGGGGAACCGGGCTCCCCCGAAGCAGGCTTAGGGAACCGTAGGGGCGAGACCTACTTAGGGGTTATGTGGGCAGGCTTCAGGGGAGCCTCCTAAGGAGGCGAGGGCTCTCTGGAGCTGACGATACTTGGTGTGCTTTAAGGGGTGGGCTCTGGAGGTGGGGTAGGAGGGGAGCTGGGCTCTTGGAAGATGCATTTCGGGGGTGGGCGCTATGGGACTGTGAATGAATGAACTCTAGGGGCAGGAAATATGTAGGTGGGGCTTGAGGGCGGGGCTTGGGAGGGGCCTTGGCTGGAGGTTTCAGAGGGGCGAGTTCTGGGTGGGGGTCTCCTGGGCAGGGCCTGGGGGGGGGGCGCCTGCAGTCTTCGTGGAGGGACTTTCCGGGGTTCACCCAAGCCCCTGTACACTTGGGGTTCCTGATCCACTTTGGGGTTCTGCTCAGGGAGGGGCCAGGACATTTGGACATCCGTCTCCAGGCCGTCTCTAGGGTCTCCAGACCGAGATGGGGGTGACCCAGCCTGAACCTGTGTGTGGGGGGACCCCAGGGAGAGGGGCACCTAACTCTGCCCTGCTCCTGGGGGGAGGGACGGGGGCCTTTGTACAAATGAGAAAAGGGGTGCAGCATCTTGTCTAGTCTAAGTATGGGTTGCTGCCTTGAACAGGCTCTAGGATGGGCTCCTGCACCCCCACATCATCCAGGGCAGCAGTGGTGTGGCCGTGGGTTTGGGCGCTGTCCCCAGAAGGGCCTGAGTTCAGAAGTGTGCATCTGAGACCCCAGCGGGCTGGCGGGTGGTTCTGTCCCCTGATCCTGGTTCTCCCAGGTAAAATGGGAAAGGGAGCCTAAAGGCGGGTTTGGCTCCCCCTCCTTGTTTTGATTCATGAACAATGTGCTGGGAACACAGTGAATGGAAGGTGTTACATTGTATTAAAATGACTTGTTTATGGCCCTCCAGTGGATGCCCCAGGGGTGGGCGCAGTGCTTCTGCCTTATTATGGCCAATTGACTAAGGGGGTGGCCTGCTCCTTCCTGGGCTGTTAGAGGATTATGGGAGTTAACTTCCAGGTGCTGCCACAGCATCTGTGTACAAGGGCTACATAAATATTTACTCTTGTTATTGTTATTTAGGACTCCTGGTGGCGCAGTGGTTGAAGCATTCAGCTGCTAACCAAAAGGTTAATGGTTCAAACCCAGCAGCCACCTTGCAGGAGAGTGATGAAGCAGTCTGCTTCTCTATAGATTACAGCCTTGGAAACCCTATGGGGCAGTTTTGCTCTGTCCTGTAGGGTTTCTATGAGTTGGAATGGAGTTGAGGGCAATGGGTTTGGTTCCTTTTGTTTTTTTGGGGGTGTGTGAGGTATTGTTTATGTATGTGCCATGCTTTGTCCAGGCTTGGACCAGATCATTGGCGCCTGTTAACTGCTTTGTGAGTTAATGAGTGTCAATAGGTCCCTTAGTGATTCCCCTGTCCCCCCACTCCCCATCACCTGGTCCCAGGAGAAGCCACCAAGGGTTTGGGGGAACATTCAACCTGTCGGTGAGTTTGGGCAGCACAGGCAAACCACCGACCGTTGAGTGGACCCTGAGGCCCGGAACTGCCATCTGCCTGTCGCTACTGCACCTCGAGATGGGGGGGCAGGGGAGCCCCATGGAGAACATGCCCCTCCCCTAGGCCACAGCGAAGGTCACAATCAACATTCATTGTTGTCGGTGGGTTGTGAGGACGGAGGCTAGACCCACCGGGGGATGAATGTCACTGTGGCTGGGCCAGACATAGCCTGGGGGCACCGGACCCCACAGTACCTCCAAAATCTCTCAGCCCGTAGTCCCTTGCCCTGACCCCCAGCCTCTTACCCCTTGCGGAGGGCTGGTGTCTGGAGTTCTGACGGACATGGATTGGATTTGGGGACCAAATCCTGGAGGGTGGGTGGGGCATGCCAGGGTGGAGAGAGGGGGCCAGAAACCTTCTGAAGGAAGGTGGCCAGCTCTGTTCCCAGGAGGGCTCAATAAAGATTTCTTGAATGAATGAATAAAGAAGGAAGGAAGGAAGGGGCCGCTGTGAGGTCCTGGGACCTCATCTCACCCTCCTGGCTCCCACAGACCCCGCTTGTCCTCTGTACATCCTCACATGGGCTGATCCCTCCGTCTGTGCCTGCTGGAGTGACTACTGGCCACACCCTCCCCTCCCCAGCTGAAATGGGGTCTCATTTGATGGGGGAGAATCAAGGAGAAGGCAGGTGCTGGGGGTCCCCCAGGAGCCTGTTCTGTGATGTACTGCTAGGAATGCCCGATCTCTGCACCACCCATCCACACACACCCTGTCCTTGGTCTAGAACACCCCTACAATCTAGACACCAGAGGCCACCCCCCTTCCAGGGCCTGCTAAAACTTTGCAACCTCTTGGGGGGGGGGCACCCGGCCCCACCTCCAGCCCAGTTTCTGAATCCCTCCAGGCCTATCATTGGGGCAGGGCTCAGCCAGGAAGAGGGGTGGCAGGGCAGCAACCCCTCTTAGTGCCCTCTGGGGATGTGGGTCCAGATCACAAGCTCCCCTGCAGCCTTCAGCTTGTTACCCCAGCCCACCAGGGAGACCAGTGCCTCCCCTTGGCAGGTGCACTGAATGGGGGGGTGGGCAAGCCCCCCTGTGACAATATTGAGCCTCCCTTAGCCTGCTCCTCCCCTTTCACACCCCCTTGGAGGTAAGAGGAGGGAACAGACAGCCCAGACTCCCAGGCTCCAGGGAGGGGCAGGGAGGAAGGGGCTGAGGGGCTGAGATCCCTGCAGGCAAGGTTTCTTCTCTCTCAGTCCCTCTGCCTCCCCCCCCCCAGCCATGGGGACCTTCAACCCGTGGACAGATTACCTGGGTCTGGCAAGCCTGGTAGGGGCGCTGCATGGGGAAGAGGAGCCTGAGACCAGGCTAGACCCCGAGCCAGAACCAGAGCCAGGTCCAGGGGATCAGAGGCCCAGCCCGAAATCCTCACTGGGCCCTGAACTCCTGTGCTCCTTCTGCAAACACAACGGTGAGTCCCGGGCCATCTACCAGTCCCACGTGCTCAAGGACGAGGCGGGCCGGGTGCTGTGCCCCATCCTTCGAGACTACGTGTGCCCGCAGTGTGGTGCCACGCGGGAGCGCGCCCACACCCGCCGTTTCTGCCCGCTCACTGGCCACGGCTACACCTCTGTGTACAGCTACACCACCCGCAACTCAGCTGGCAAGAGGCTCATTCGGCCGGACAAAGCAAGGACGCAGGACCCAGGGCACCGAGGAGGAGGAGCAGGAGGAGGAGGAGGAGGAGGAAGAACAGGTGGAGTGGGGTTGCCGTGGAGGGGCCTTGGAGGGGCCTTGGAGCCAGACTGCCTTGGCCATGGCACTGTACCCTTCTGGGCTTCTGTGAATTGGGATTAATGCCAGTGCCAGCCCTGGAGGGCGGGGGGAGGAGCAGGGATCCTTGAACACTGTTAGAATAGTGTTCTAGAAGTGGTGCTCAAGGTGGAGAAGGTTTGCTGTGTGTCCTTTGGTTAGTCACTCTCCCTCTCTGGACCCATGGAAGAAAAAATGCTGCCCTTTTTTCCAGGTGCAGGTGCTCGGCAGGGGCATGAGAGTGGGGTGGGGATAGTTACAGCAGGGGCTCCAGTCTCACAGGGCACTTATGACCTGTGTGGTGTCGGGAACCTCTAGCCGGCGTCCTAATGTCCACTCATTGGCCAGATAGTTTGCGTGTCTGTTCTGTGCCGGTTGTTGGGCCAGGCCAGCAGTGCACAAGACAGACAGGAGAGCAGCAGTTAAAAGGCAGGGCTACCGGTGCTGAACGGGAGCCCAGACCAGGGCTTCCTGGAGGAAGTGACTTCTGGAGGCCTCATTCAGTTAGGTGGGGTTAGGAAAGTAGAATCCAGGCTCTGGGGTTAGGTGTGCAGGGTTTCCAGTACAAGAGCAGGGCCTGTTAAGGCAGTTGGTGAAGTTCAGGATGTTAGGGGATGTTGTGTGTAGAGTGGGTGTTGGAGATCTTGGACCAGCTGAAAGGCCCACAGGGCCTTGTGGGTCCCTTTGAAGGGTTTTGGACTTGGGCACTGGGGAGCCATGGAAAAGGCAAGGCTAGACAGATAGTTCTGGTGGCATAGTGCCTAAGGCATTTGAATGCTAACCAGAAGGCTGGTGGTTCAAACCCACCAGCCAGTCCTCGGAAGGAAGGCTGAGCAGTCTACTTCTGTAGTGATACTGCCTCAGAAACCCAAGGAGGGCTCACTATGAGTTGGATCCAACTCCATGGCAGTGAGGTTTTTTTTGTTTAGTGGAAGGTGGTGTGTGTAGGACTGGAGAGCTCAGGAAGGGTGGATGTGGCTCGTGTGGAGGTGCTCTGAAGGGTGGGAGGGCCTGAGTGTCCTCCCCAACACACACTTCACCTGGCTTCTAGTTTGAGTGAGGATTCTGATTCTGCAGGGCTGGGCTGGGGCCCCAGTATCTGCATTTCTGAAAATTTCCTGCCAGGCCTCTCAATGCTTCAGGGCCACTGGCCAAACTTTGAAGAGCCGGGCCTAAAATCTGCAGCAATTGTTATTACAGGTGCAAAAGATCTCCGAGCTGGGATTTTAAAAGAGAAATCTGACTTAGCACCTTTCATTGCCGTAGGTAGAGGAGGGCCCCTGGGGCAGGGGGCTGTGCTGCCCCCCTGTCGGACTTTGAGCTGCGTATGAGCGGCTGCTGAGCAGGCTAGACTCCTCCCCACTCCCCAAAGCTTGCTTGTGAGCTTTGTGACAGGAATGAAAGACTCCTTCGGAATCACTCCAGGAGGAGATTCTACTCTCTGTGAGTTGTGATGAGGTCCCGCTGGGAGATGCTGGAAGGAAAGGGGCAGAGCTAATGGCTTCAGAACCTTCCTTTTTTCCTTAAATACAAAGGAACAAGAGAGCTGCTCTCCTTGTGTCTGGGGGGCAGAGCACCAGGATATTGACCCAGAAAGGCCAGAAGCCTTCCTGTAACTTACACTGGGTTATAAATGGGAGTGCGAAGTGCTGGCGGTCGCCAGAGGGTAGTGTGCTTTGTCTAAACTGGGGCTGTCCTGGTCCAGGAACGGCCTGGGCTTGCTATTCCAGGAGCAGCCCCCAGGTGGCGCCCGAGCCCCAGCAACGTTAAAGGCTCAAACAGGACTTGAGCGTTCTGGTGGCGCAATGCCTGAGATATCTGACTGTTAACCAGAATGTTGGTGGTTCAAACCCACCAGATGGTCTGCGGAAGGAGGATGGGGCAATCCACTTCCATAAAGATTTTCAGCCTCAGAAACGCAATGGGGGTCGCAATGAGTCAGAATCGACTCCATGGCAGTGAATTTTTTTTTTCTTCCCCGTATTTACTGTGTTTCTATTCCCTTTCTCCCTTTTAAAATACAGGTTCCAAAGGGGCCGAGAAGTCTTCAGGACCCTCGCCTTCTTCCTGTAGTCCTTCCACTACTGCCTAGGAGGCTGGCATTGTGAGGACAAGGACCCAGACTTGGTGGAGGCTGGATTTTGGGGAAGACACACGCTGCAAGAACTTAAGGCCACAGGGGCTGGCTGGGAGCAAAGTTGAAATAGCTCCTATGGGGAAGGAGAATGGTCCCAGGTACCCACCAAACTGCCAGCCCTGTGACCCTGAGCCTGACCTATTCACGCACGCATGGAGTCAGTGGTCAATAAACATCTTACGAATGAAGCAGTGTCAGACGAGGCTGTCCTGGGACTGGGGGAATCCCAGAGTTCTAGGCTGGGGGGTCTCTGGGGGCCTCTTTCCTCTCCCGGCTGCATCAGCTGTGTGTGTTATGTAAGGTGGGGGCCCCCACTGTCCCTGACTGCCATCTGAATTCCCATTGTACGCGCGTCTGTGAGCTGTTGTGCTGAGACAGGAACGTGCATCCCACGGCAGGTGTGGGGCTCCGAGAGGTGGCCCGGCCCCAACTTCTGAGAACATTCTTAGTTGCTATGGGGTCAGCTTTAGGGAGTTTTTTTTTTTTTTCTTTTTTTTTCCTAAATTGTGATTTGGGTGAAAGTTTACAGAGCAAATTCATTTTCTAAATAGCAGTTCACATACACTGGCTCATGACTTTGACTGTATCTCCCAACAGCTCCCCTCCACTTCCTGCCCCTAGTTACCTCTTGCCTGTGTCCTTCCCTCCCATGCATTCCTGCCCACCCCCAGTTGTCTGCCTGTGCATATACAGCCCTTCTATTTTCCCATGATTGATCTAAGGAGTGTATCTATCTCATGTAAATGTTCAGCTCATATGCCTGCCTTTTGTGTGGCTGGAAGCCACAGGTGTGGGTTCAATTCCAGACCTGAAGGGGAGCTAGGGGCCATAGTCTCAGGGGTTCTACCAGGCTCTATGAGACCAACAAACATGCCCCCCCGTAATTTATGATTTTTTTGTTCCACATTACTCTCCCACTCTATCCAGAATCTCCTACATAGATCCCCCTCTGAGTGGTTGACAGTGGTAGCCAGGTACCATCTAGTTCTTCCAGTCTCATAGTCATATAGGCTGAGGTTCGCATGGTGTACCAGTCCCTTGGTCTAGTTTTTTCCATGCATCTTTGGTTTTCTTCATTCTTTTTTGCTCTGGACCAGGAGAGACCCATCATTGCATCTAGGGAGCCATTTTTTTGCAACATCAAGTGTTTCAAAAACTCCCTGAAATGGGTGGGATCCCCACACTGGAGGTAGGGGGCTGATGTAATGGGAATAGAGACAATCAGACTGACCTCCCCATCTTTTATTGGAGAGGAGGTCCTGGTGAATGTTACCATGGACACGTGCCAGGCAGCTCAGACAAGGGAGGGACAAATTGATGAGGGGTCTTGGGAATACACTGGCGGCAGGGAACGGGACTATATCCACTTCTCAATCCACTCTCCTGCCCCTATGGTGGCCGTGCTGAAGGAAGTAGGGGTGGGAAGTGGCTGGCAGTGGTCCCTCTACCTCCCTCCCCCAAGCTGAGGGCTGGCACTAGTCTCCTGTGTCATGGTAGGATTTTGACTTGGCAGGTCTCTGCCCTTGGCTTCTCCAACCCAGGAGGATAGGTGAGTGGGGGTGGGAGAGGCTCTTAGCCTGCAGCAGAGAAACCCGAGGGTTCCTCAGTGCCCCAGGGTGTCTGTGTCCTGGAGGGGCTGGGGAGGGCACTGTATGTTCTGGGAGGTGCAGAAGTGATCCTGGCCGCCTCCTGCACTGGGGCTTCCTGGTGTAAGGAGAGGTGGGAGGCGGCCCTGTCTGGGCCACAGGAGTTGGCCTTGGCTGATTTGACGACAGCAGCAGTGCAGCGCCCTGGGGGCTGTGGTAGGGCTGGTGCGGGATTGGGTATGTGGTGCCCACTTCAAACCAGCAGAAGCTCTGTCTGCCAGGAAGGCTTCCTTCCAGCCTGGGGCTGGAGGCAGCTGACCCTCCAGGGTGGGGCCTGAGCACTGGACTCATTCTCCAGTTAGACCACCAGCCACTGCATCACAGTGAGCTCCTGCTTTATAGGTGTCAGTGTGCGTGTGCCCGTGTGTGTACACACATGCATGTGTACATGCACATGTCCACACACACACCCTCTTGGGAGAATCAACATTCCATAACTTGTGGGGAACCCCAACCTGCATCCCACAGAGGATGCAGACATAAATCCCGAGGAAGGGGCAGCTGTTCTCGCTGAGGTTAAACAGAGAGAAGTTAAAGAGATTTATGGGCAGCACCTGAAGGAACAGGATGCCCTGAACCAAACCAGTCACGGGGATGGGGACTCATTAGAGAATCAATTTATTAATGGCTGTCCCAGAAAATAAAATGGAAACTGGGAGAAAGGCAAAGATACAACAACAAAGGAAGCCCTTTTCTCCTACAGGAAAGAAACAAATTCTGAACCTTCCATAACCTCCGTTAAGGATGTGAAATTTGCAAACCAAGATAAACATCTGCGCAGGTCTGTGGTTGACCAGCTCAGCCCAGATGGCTGCCTGCAGGTGGTGCAGGTGCCCTCCACCCCCAAAGGCACTCCTGGCTCTGTAGATGACTGAGAACACTGGAGGGGAACGAAACGCCAACCCGCCCGCCCCACTGGGCTTTCTCGCGTCAGTTGAGAGACTGTTTCCAGCTGTTGAGCAGAAATACAGGAAACTTCTTAAGGCTTGGGCTTGTCCATCTGCAAAGAAAACACACCCACGCACATACATACCACACACTCGTAAGGACTTACATACACACAGTCCGCGGGCCGCCAGGAAGCAGCCCTACAAGTCTCTCCAGGGCTGCTCCCCTCGAGGGAGACTCCCAGCCCCCCTGGAGGCATAGGGCACAGGCATCTTTCCTGTCGGCTTCGCCTTCCGGTAGCTGAGGCGCTTAAAGGCTTCCAGGTCCCGGTGGGTGCTCATGATCAGCCGGCTGGGGGGAAATAGGCATGTGAGCTGGGAGGTGTGTGTCCTCACTGCCCACCAGCGGGGCCCACATGCTCACCTTCGTACACACCTGCCTACTCACCCTCACAGGCACCTCACTTCTGCACATTCACAAGCTTGCTTGTGCACAAAGGCAGATACACTCACCTCTGCACAAGTGCACACTCAAGGCACTCATGCTCACAGGCACACATGCTCACACACACAACCATGCACGTGCAAACACGCACGTTCATCAAATGCACCTTTACATGCACGCTCAGACACACATGCACCACCCCCACCCCCACCAGTCAGCTTCTTTTGAGAGCAGGGTGTGACCACTCTCACCATTCTTAAGAACCGAAAGGAGGATAGAGGGGTAAGGAGTGTGGGACGGAGCACAGCAGGGGTGGTGAAGGCTCCCTGGGGCCCCTGGCTGCCCCTGGTGGTTCCTGCCTGCCCGCTGCTCCCTGGGGCCCCCCTCTCCCCTGAGGTGTCCCCAGGTCGCCAAGCCCACCCCGCACACCCTAGACCAGCCCTCACTTGAGATTGGAGAGCTCCACGATGAGGCCACACACTGTGTCTGTTGCATCCTCCAGCCCAGGATCCTTAAAGGGCTTGTTCCCGGAGTCAGGGGTCCTGTGGGAAGAGGGGAGAAGGAGAGGCCTGAACTGGCTGGGGACTGTCCTGTCAAATGCAACACCATTCTGACAAGTTTCCATGGGGCCTTATAACTGGTTTTGCTTTATTTTTTCAGATATACTCTGCCCTTCTCTGTTTGTGGCAGAGCCCTGAGTGCCAACACAGCTGGCTCTACCATGTTGTTGTTGTTGTTGTTATGTGCCGTCGAGTCGGCCGCAACTCATAGCGACCCCTCCTTGGGTTTCCGAGGCAGTATCACTACGGAAGTAGGATTGCCCAACCTTCCTTCTGAGGAGTGGCTGGTGGGTTTGGACCGCCAGCCGTCTGGTTAGCAGGCAAGTGTCTTAGCCACTATGCTACCAGAGCTCCCAATAGCCACCTTTATACAGAATCCAGTTGCTCCCTTGCCTCCCGTCAGATGGTGCCCAGATCCCAGCCTTTTTCTGGTCCCTGCTCCCAGCCCTGTGGCCAAACCTCACTCAGCTTGGGGCCGTGGGGGAAAGGGTGTGAAAACACCAATACCAGCTGTTGTGGAGTGATTGTGACCCACTGGCTCCCGCCTGTCAGAGCAGAACTACTTTCTGGAGGGAGCTCGTCAGGCCTGGGCTTTTCCTCAGAGCTGCCTCTGGGTGGACTCAGACCTTTGGGCTAGCAGGCAAGTGCGTAACCATCTGTAGCTCCAGGGCCTTCCCTCAGGGCGCAGTCCTCCCTAAAGGCGGTGGGCCCTAGCCATGGAAACCTCTGTTCTGTTCCATCTGCCTCAGCACCCCAGTGGCCGGCTGTCCCTGGGTCTAGCCTCTTGGGGGTCTCACTCAGCCTCAGCTCCCCAAACCTGACTCCAGGACTCTCCTTGGAGGCTCCAGCCACCCTCTGCTGGGTGGGCACTGCCCAAGGAGGAACCAGTGACTCAGGCACAAATCTCCCGGCTCTTCCCCTTGGTTCACAACACAGGGAGCACTGACTTCCTGCCCCCGGTCCCTGAGCTGGTGGTGTGTGTGTGTGAAGGGACTATAGACAGCACCACAGGGACCAGTGGAGGACCTGTGCAGGAACAGGAGAGGTGAACACTGCCGCCCCACACCTGTGGATGAGGGGTAGGGACAAGTGTGGCCATGGGCCTTTTCCACGCTCCCAAGACTGAACCGTGGCTATAAGCAATGGATAAACCACTGCCTCTGCAGACAGGCAGGTTCAAGTACAAGGTAACAGGAGCTGGCCGCCTCAGGGAGGGGGTGGATGAGAGGACTCCCCCACACCCTGCAGCTTGCAGGAGGGAGAGGTGGTGGCGGACCTCGGCACAGAGCCAGCGTGGGGATGCTCAGGATATCAGGGCAGAGACCAGAACTAGAACAGCCACAGTGATCCTGCCAGTGGCTCTTAGCCCTGCCTGGGTCCCCTTGCCCTCTGGGGGACTCTGGCAAAGCCCTGGACTGTTTCCCCAGGAAAATGCACATATGTATATACACACAAAGCTGCGGATGCTATCCCTGGGGTCCCAGAGTCCATGGAGTGAAATGCTCGCTCAGGTGAGGATTGCTAAGCACTAATTCTGTGCTTGGGGGGGTTATCCCACATGTAGTTTGTAAGATGGGGCTCAGCTCTCTTATTTGGTTGGGGAAACTGAGGCCTAGCAAGGGGTGCACCGACCAGCTCTGTCACCTTAGCAGAATGAGTGCCGACATGGGAGATGTGAGGAGGGCAGTGACCCCAGGGATGAAGGATGACTTCATGCCACACTGAGGGTCCCAGGCAGTCTCCCACCACCTCCTGCCTACCTTGGCTGGGCTGTGGTGCTGGAGCCTCCATTGACAGGTGGGTTGGTGCCAGGCCAGCAGGGGCTCAGTGTGCTCCCTGCAGAAGGCTAGAAAGAGAGAGCATGTGTGTGGAAGATGTCGCCAGGTGAGCCTTGCACTGAGGAGGGCGAAGGGTCACCTGGCTTAGCAGAAAGGGAAACGTGAGAGCAGGAGCCGCCTGGGGGGGGGGGGGCGGTGCAGCCAGGCCTGCAGAGCTGCTCTTCCCCCGCATTGAACAGCTGCCCTGGCCCTTCTCCCTGCTGATGGTGCATCTCCCAGCAGGTCTCTGTGGGCACCATGGCCCCTTCCATATACTCACTGTCCCTGACCACAAGGGGTGATGGGGGCAAAGAAGCCCACATGGAGCCTCTGGCTACAGTGTGGTGGGCACAGCATGGTCAGGGGCAGAAATCACTGACCTCAGCCAGGCAGGCAGTGTGTTGTGTCCCAGGAAAGATTTTGCAAATATATTGCAGGGAAAAATTATGATAAATAGAGAAGAAAACCTGACAACTCTGAGAAGTTTAAGTTTCTAAATGTCAGCTGTGGTTTAATTTTACTGGAAAATGTCAAGCTGGGTCGTGGAGATGACGTGAGTCCCTCTAAGAGGCAGAGGCCGTGGTGGGCGGTTAGCAGACCTTCTGCACCTTCTGGGGAGGACAAAGGGGAAGGGGATTTGTTCTAAAGATGTCGTTCCCAATCAGAGGGTGGGGTGAGAGGCTAGGGCCACTAGCGCAAATGGTCCCTGGATCCAAAGTCCATCAAGAACTGGAATACCTGGAATTGAACTGAAGCTTGTGGCTTCCAGCCAAACAATA